TCGGCAAAGCTTTGGTGTCCACACGCTGTGTTGCCACCGCCTATAACTGACTGTGTGCTATCAAAATCGACAGTAAAACACTGTCCCATTAATTTCCCTTTCCACAGACCACCAGTCATGACAACCAGCCTACCAACCGCAGCCGCAACATGCAGTCAAGGTAGGCAGGCACTGTGTTCTGTCTGTCATAGGCACATGAGATCCAAATCAATATTATTGATGCAACTTTTGTGATGAGTAATTTGCAGCTAAAGATTTTCTGCAAATTCTGCATTTTGATAATTGGCCCTTCCTCTTGTTTCAGCTTTATAATCATTTGCTTTTCATAAATTAAAGGGGAAAAAGAGTAACATGGCATTTTTAATTTAGCAGACAGCCCAACCTTACAAGTAACACTGGACTTTATTACTTTCAGATTTCCACATCATTTTATGATTTCACGCAGTCTTATTCTGATGGCAAAATTACTTCATCCATTCCCAAACATAAGGGAGAGAATTACACAAAGCCAATGAACATGTTCTAACTCCACCATTCTCCATGAAGCAATCTCTTCTTTGCTAAAGCTGCTAATCTAATTGCTTCTCAGACATCCATAAACACTTTATGTCAGATGGGAAACAGAGAATAAAGAAGCAGACATTTAAGTTATGGCAAGATTTGTTCGGGGTTTTTTAGTGACTAGCAGTACACTGAAATTGTTTCCAGAGGACAAGACGACAGTAAAAATCAGTGCAACGATCTTAAAATTATCAAAAAGAAGCCAACCACATAGGTCTTAAATACTGCAGCAGGCTGGCTGCAGGGCACGGGGTTTGTTACCTACAGCCCCAGCTCCAAGCAGCGCTTGCCCCCAGCCCTTGTACGGCCGTCCCATCAGCCAGGGCAGTGAGCAGATGCAGCAAAAAGTTACATATAAAATATATATATTAAAAAATATATCTATATAAATGCTGTCTTAAAAGTAATAGCACCAGGGCAGTCATACGTAGAGAGCAAGACCAGCGGGGAATCTTTTGGAAAACCGCCGCCATCTGTGCGTATAGCCTGTGTGTCTCTGCTCCTGCCTTGCCTTTCAGGCAGTAAGTCCCTTCTCTTCCCCTCTAGCTGATGGCTCTTTGCCCTGGCAGTGAGGGAACGGGCAGCACTTTTTTGGCTGGTCCTTCAGAAACAGCCCGAGTGTCCTCTGTCCTTTCCTGACTCCAGCCTTTTCCAAGAGGGATCCTAAGTTCATTTTCTTTGTGAAAGAGATTAATGGTTACCCAGTAAGAAGATTAACTTTAAAAAGTGTTTTAAGAGGCAAAGAGTATAAGAAAAACAAAACAAAAGCAAGATCAAAGTAAATTCAAAGTATAAAACCATCCCTCTCGTAAGGGTAGGGGAATCAACCTCCTAACAGTACAGGTAAATCTGAGTGATATCTATGAGTTTAACAGAACCATATCTCTTGTTATTACCAGTGGCTGTACTCATGTCAGTGTGTCTTGGGACCACTGCAAATACCGTCCCTTATCCTATGTGCTGTCTGCCTTCTAAGTCATCTTTGCAATCTGTGAGAAAGCCACAGAGCTGAATGGGACATCTAACCAGGTGCAGCATCTGTATAGCGCAGCAAAGCCCAGGTCCTTGTTACACAGAGGTTTCAGTCACAGGAAAGCTGATGATTCTTGTCTTCGCTCACTCCTCTTGATTATTTACTGCTCCTCTGTCCCTGGACTCCCCTCTGCAGGGACTGAAAAATAAGCTCAGGAGACCAGGCTCGACAACATGCACCTCAAAGCAGTGCCTGTGTTTGGAGGGATCAGTCGGGGTTTTTGCCTTTGTAGCTGAGGTCCCAGCTGCTTACTGCCCCTTAACTGGATTATCTAAAAAAAAACAACCACAGCCCCAGCCACCTGAAAGCAGCCTGGCCCAGGTGACCATGCTCAAGTGCTGCTGACAGTAACAGGCCAGCTCCAAGGGGAGAGAGAAGTGGCCAAGTGTATTAGATAACATGCCAATGCATGCTACCCTTCTGCAGTGAGCTTCCCCCTCCCAGAGTGCCCTGTTCTGACCTTCTCCAGGCTTATGTTGTTGCCTCTCACCTCAAAGGCTATCCTTGGAAACGACCAGTTGTCACAAACATGGAATTGAATGGAAAAATTCAGTACTCACTAGTGGTGAGGCAGCCACAGTATGCCAAGAGATCTGCTCCTGGTTTAGCCCCATGCAGAACGATCCCAAAAAAAGAATTATCAGGGTCATACAACAGGAGACACCAGTTTTCAACCTGGACCTAACAAAATCAAGGGAAAAGGAGCAGGGAAGCCACTGGTAGATGCCTGGGACCTGACTGCCTTCCCAAAAGTATGTTAGGGAACTGCTGCCAAGCACAGACAGAGCATCTGAGGATGGAAAAAGTTAAAAATCACTGGGGTTGGAGGCTGGCAGTTGGGTAAGAACATTTTCCCAGGTAGGCTGAAGGTACTGGAAGGTATGGCTGCTTCAAAATGCTACAGCTGCTTCCAGCTAGATGAGTGTAGAAGGCAAGAGCTGTCCTAAGGCATGGTCCTGTGTCCCTCTCCACGTTGTCATGTGGGTGACAATGACAAAACCTGCCTTGTCAACCTAAAAAAGGGACGACTTGAGGTCATATTGCAACTACAAAGCACTGGCCAACAGCACTGCTCCACGCAGAGAAAGAGATAGAAACAAAAAGAAATAAAAGGGTAAAATCTTCTGATGAGCACATTTCACAGTTTGAAAAGACAGCATCCAGAATCTCTAATTTTACTTAGGTGTCTTTCTGCTCAGTAAGAACCTACCAAAACACAGATTAAAGGAGTATGCTCTCTAGAATATCGCTACATTGTTAATCACACCATTCCAATTAACATTAAAGGTTGCAGAACTGAAAATTACGGATGTAGGAAGGCAGGGAAGTTATTGAAGATATATAGAAGTTTGTTCAAAGCCTTTCTTCCTTTAAAACATGGGCACACAATATTCTCCTTTATCTTTGCAAAAACAGTGATCAATGAAAGAGCTTAGGTCCCAGTCCTGCTCCAAGCAACTGTTCTAAACTGACTTCAGCCTGTTGCAGTTTTTATACACACAAAAATAAATAAAAATTGGAATAGCCTGTTTCTCCAGCAGAGTCATACCCTCACTATACAGCCTCATTAACTATCCAGCTTCCAGATGGGACACCAAAATAATGAAAGCCAGTCATGGCTGTCAAGGCAAGAAAGAAAATCTGATCTCTGTCCAGCTCTTGCTGTCGTACCTTCATGGATTACTCCCTTGCCTACTAAACGGCATGCTAAATTTGTCTCAAGAAAGTTGCCAGGCATCACCAGAATTTCACAAACTTTATCAAGACAGGAGTTTCAATCAATCAGTAACAAAAATTGAGATCTAAGGTGATTTCTCAGGCTAGCTTTGAAAGGCATACAGTACAAGGGTTCCATTGTGCAAAGTTCATCAGCAGGACACAGGCTAATTAACTAAGTGGCTTTTTGGAGCTAGTTAGTTTTCAAGTAATGGTTTTCACTACAAACAATCAGGCAATATCTCCACTGAAAGTTAAAAACTTCGGAGCGCACTTCCAAACAGGATTTATTAACAGATTTCACTAGTAGCGCTACTAAAACATCTATTTTTGTACCCAATTCT